TTGGCTGGCTTTGTCCTCACACTCACTCCCAGACCCAGTAGGTCTCTCCATTGCTTGGCTCTGCCTGGACCTTAATGGTTGGCCAGTCAATGTGTGATAACTGATAATCCCATTTTCTAGAAGGGGAGTAGGTAGGATCCACGTGCAGAGTCGTGTGGCAGGCAAGGAGAGGAAGTGGGATTCACCAGCAATCTCAAAAGTGTTTTAAAAACAGAGGACACCCAGCTGCTTCTTAGAAATCCAAGTTATCTAGAAGGCATCTCAAGCCTTTCTTCCTCCTGCCTGTAATCCCTGGCACCTCTCTTGAGACCACATGGTGTTCTGTCAGTATTAGTTTTTCCAACTGTATGATTATTTGCTCTGGAAAGTTGGAGCTGGGTTTCTGGATCAAGTGAATCTCTGATGTGCTTAGAAATGATAAAAGCAAGGAGAATTTGTCCTGGGGTGTCCTTTCCCGACTTACCATCTTCACTACTTTCCCATTGAGTATGTATCAAAGGTCTAAGAGACAGTGGCTCTGTTCACTTAAAAAAACCAAACTGTAGGGCCTTTCTTAGCAAAATACATGTTCCCAGGGGCACCTTTATTACTGTTGTGTTTTGCCATCAGCCACATTTCTAACCATTGCGAAATGTTTTATGGAACCAAGGCTTGCTCTTTTCTGTCCCTAATCATTTGGTAATAAAATTCAGTAAATAGGTTATTCATCTTGACAGGGCTATTGTTAGGATGTTGTTATTTGGTGAACAGTAATCCAAATGGGCAAGAACACTGGAGCAAAAAGTAAGTGTATAGAAACAAAATCACAAACACTGACCTGAGTGTTACTTAAGGCTGTAACATCATCTGTATCGTCAGATAAAAGTCTTGCAAGTGAGGCCGTTTGACCTTGGCACTTTGCTGTCTCTCCAGATGCTATTATGTGGGTGCAGTCAGACAGCACCCTTCAGCATGCTCAGTATCCTTGGCCCTAGTGCAGTGTGGGATGTAGTGGTTTGAGTTCACTGTGAAGCAGGTGTGTGTCAGCAGGGAGTTAACGTGACTCCTGCAAACGGTAATGTTATCTTCCCTGCCTGAATGCAGATACAGGGTAGGTTTAGATGTCTTTTCTTGTGTGAGGCCATTCCTGACTCCTCCCCGTGTTCCCATTGCCCTGTGTAGTATTATATTAAAGCAATGATCATATTGGCATCAAATAACTGTAATTGTGTGTAGCTATCTCCACATCAGACTGAATGCCAGGAAAGATGGCATGCGGCATATGTTGCAGCACTTCAAATTTCATTAGTCAGGATTCTTTTGCCCTTGAAACAGAACCCCAACTGGCATGTGGTACTGTAGGAGGATTTCTGGTTTATGTAATTGAAAAGTCCAGGGATGGAACTTAAGGCATGGAGGCTTAAATGTGTTGCTAAGGCTTACAGTTTTTCTCCATCTCTCAGTGCTGTGCTGCCTACCATTTCTCTTTGGATTGTGGTGGCAAGATGGCTGTCAGCAGCCCTAGCAGAAGGGAAATAAGCCCACTTTTCCAGCAGTTCAGCAAAAGTCTCAGAATTGAGTCTTGTATCTCTGATTGGTTTTTCCGCGGTAACATGCTCATCCCTGAACCAATCCCTATGGCTAAACAAATGCCATGCTCTGATTGGCCACCCTAGATCAAATGCCCGCCCTCTGGAGAAGCTGGGGTAGGGTCTGCATCTCCCAGAGCTCAAGGGTTTAGAATGAGGGAAGGCAGACGTCCCCTAAGAAAATCTGGGAACTATTTGTGAATGGGGGGGGCGGATAGGCAAAAGCAAGGATGTCCAATATAGTAGGTCTTTAGCCAGTGTTTACTCAGTGCATAAATTAACAGATGAATGAGCAAACGAGTGTGTGCTGCTGATTCTGGGAGCTGGTTATACAATACTCAGAGTGGGGTTTTAACAGATGGAGCCTTTGCAGAGAGGAAGGATAAAAAAAGAGCCTTGAAATCAAGTCATATAAAGATAGCATTAAATTAGCTCAATTATTGAATTCAAGAAATAGGAGAACTATGATAGCTGTTTTCAAATGTCTGAAGGGCTTTAATAGGGATGGAACACAGGCGCTGGGCTAGACATTTTGGCATCACCCCACTTTTATTTTTATTTTTATTACAGAACCAATTCATGTTCACTATAGAAAATCCAAAAATGCACAAAAAAGGGAAAAATAGAAGTCCTCCCATAATTTTAACAGCTAGGGCTCATTGCTCTGAATATTTTGGTATATATTCTTTCAATCTTTTCTCCTTATGTATAGCTGTATTCAAAAAAGTTCTTATTTAATATTGATAATTGTGTTTGTCAGAGAAAGAAATTAGCTCAGAGAGTTTAGGATCTTATCTGAAATCTCAGAACTAGGCACTAACTAGAATTCCAAGTCCAGAATTCAGTGCCCATATCTGTCTGCCTTAGAAGCCCTGTGTCATTTCTGGGTCTTTGATTTACTGGCAGTACAACCAGTAGTCTGAGTACTAACTGGTAGGGTTTTACTACAGTCATATTCTGGAATCTTGATTCTATCACTCTGGCTTATCCACTCACTCATCTTCATTCATGTACTCAGGAAACACTGCGCCTGGGTACCGGTCAGGGGTGGGGGTGGTAGACAGGGAATGAGGTAAGGCCCCTGCCCCACTGGAGCTGACAGTCTAGCTGAGTTCCATATCACCCAGGAATGGCTAAATCAACATCCTCTAGGGATGTGCGGATCTGTGACACTGTCAATGGCACTGACCCCACACCTCTTTCAGAAAGCAACCAGCAAAGCAAAGAGGAAGCATGGTACCCAAGGAGCTGGACAGCCCAGTTTTACATGCACTCTCTGCCCAAGCCCCACCTCCTGAGGGAATCGGTGTGTGTTGAGGGATGGGAGGCTCAGGGTGCGCGTTACCTCTCCTCATTCTCTCAGGGCTGGCTTTGCTGGGTGATGCCAGGTGTGGCCCACCACCATGTATATCTGATGACCCTATTTTCTGAACCCCAGACCAGAACCCATGGTACGAAGCAGGGTTAGCTGCACAGAAGGAGGGAAATATGGTTCTTGAAAGCGGCCTACCCCAGGTACCTCTTCGCGGCTCCCTTTGCCCAGGGAGATGCGTTATGATTATCCTCATTTTGCAGGAGAGGAAGCTGAGGCTCAGTTGGATCTGTGATCTGAACTCAGGCCTGCTTCATGGCTCTAAATCTGATGAGCTTCCTCTTCATGTCCCTCTGATCCAGACACATCTGGAGAGCGGGGCTTTAAAAGGTTCTGGAACTCTGGGTGATAGTTTCATTCCATTCTGGGCCTGTATCCAGAAACTCTGTTAGGCACCTGATACTGGGTGACCAAGACCCATGAGGGCTCCTGCTCCCTGAGAACGTAACGTCTGAGTTAAATCACTGAAAGAGCAGTGACGTTTCTGCACAGTCCTTTGCTCAGTGATTCATGCAGCCATGCCTGAGGCTGTTAGGAGGCTGTGAGTTGCAAGGGACAGAAACCCAGTTCGAATTGGATAATTGGCAGAAGCAGTTGAAGTGGTTCACATAACCAAAAAGTGGAGAGGTATGTAGGCTTCGGGCACACTTTGATCAGGGTTCTGGCTTCCTTTGTGATTCTCTGGGCTTTGTACTTACGGCTTTTGGCTTTGTTCTCAGGTTGACTCCTTACAGTAGCGAGAGGGCTTGGCTTAGTATCAGAGACACCGCAAAGAGTATGTGTGCCCCAGGAAAGGTAGAGGAGAACTCTCAGGTGTGATGGCCTGGCGGCTGGAGTAGCAATCAGACCGCACATTTGTTTGTTCACATTTGGGGAAGACTTGCTACTATTTCTCTCCAGAGCCATTGAACAAAAGTGCTGAGCTTCTCTCTGATTGGATCACCTCAGGACACGCCTCCATCTCTCAATGAAGCCTGGTGGCAGAGGAAATAGGATAGCTCCGATTGGCTTAGCCCGTTCAGGATCCACCCCTGGACCTGGAGATCAAGGTCTGAATGACTGAAGGATGCTGTTTGGTGGGAGAGGAAGAGAGTAGGGGTTGAAGAGACAGCTATAGTCTCTATAGGGCCCCGTGTAGGATCTGGGTACAGAAAGATGAGTAAGTCATTGTCCCTTCTCTTAAAAACCTTACCTTTTAGTGAGCTTCCTGAGATTTTTGGCAATGATCAGATGGAGTCCATTTACATTTACTGAATTCTAGTAGGCACCTTGTTTTCTCAGTTCTTACAATGTCCGTGTCAAGTAGGTATTTCCATTTTACAGATGAGGAAACAGCTTCAGAAATGTTTAGTTCTTACTAGTAGTTGTACACCTAGGGGTACGATAGGGTGTCTGAGGTTGTGGATCCCATATTCCTTCCTCTTCTTTTGTGATGGTTGTAGAGAAAAAAGATCCTTAATAGAGATCCTGCAAAGGTTTGTCTAATGCCTCCTGTGCAATAAGCAGGGCCTTGGGAGTAGTTACTGTTGTTCATTTCAGGCTTTTATGAGAGGAATCTGCTTGCTTTTTTCCTTTAACTAACTCTAGATGGGAGGAAAACTCTCCCAGGTCCAGATAAGCAACAGATAATTGAATGAGCTTTGAGAAAGGCAGAACCATTGTCAGCTCACACGCATCAGAAGAGATGGTTGCATTCAGATAATTTTACAAAAATGATTTGTCGCTCCTTTTGACTTTTCTGCCTGAGGCTTCCATTCGGTTTTGAAGTAATAGAGTAACTATTGTGTAATTGTATACAATGCTTCTTTCCCTTGGGCCCAAGTTAACTCACATGTTCAAAAAACGGAATGCATTTTTTAGTAAAGAGTTTATGTAAAGCCAGTACGATTCCTAAATTAAACTGCCGAAACAAGAGCAAACAAGCTGGATTTTCTGGTTTTCTCCAGACTCTGCAGATACAACATCCAACAGAGCAGGAGATGATTTGCTGAAAATGATTTGTGTACTGGTGGCAGGATGTCTTGTTCTTACTGCGCCCTGCACCCAACATGCATGTCTTCGCTTTGCTGCCTAGTGATAGAGCACTTGTTTGTTCGTAGGTCTCCTGGCCTCACTCACTTCCATGCCATCAAATGTAATTTCATCCTGGGAGAAATTAACAAAAAAAGGAAGTCAAAATGATAGTTGGTGACAAGTTGATCTGTGAGGTTTTTAACTTAGATGCTGTGGTGTTTGAGTTTTTACATCTGCTTTTCATCCCCCCCCCCACCCCAGGTTATTACTGACAATCTCCTTATCTAAATTTCTATTAAGTTGTCTACCGTTCTTGGGTCTTGGGATGGAGTTGAACAAAGCATAGTCTCAATGACCAAGTCTCCAGTGGCCCTCCCCTCAGCAGGGGGCCTCCTAGTCTGTCAATGCCAGTGTAAGGTTTTGGCTCTGATTTACTCTGGGCCTCGCAAACTTGTTAAAATGGACTTCAGAAGAGGCATAATGTAAAAGTAAAGAAACCAGAAAGGCCTGAGGGTTAAATGCTTAGGCTTTAGAGTCGGGTAAAGACCAGAGAAAGGGGCTGGCTGGGCTCATTCAATTGTCCTAGACAGTGACCCGTGTGGTAGTTGTTGGGGCTGATTCGTAGGTGTCCTGTGTTACCACAGTGTGGTCTGACTCATGCTGACCCATGTGACCACCACTCTAGAGGCAGCAGATTCTTGGAACCTGGCCAGCTTGTGTGTGCATGTGTGTGTAAGCATGTATGCATGCAACTATATGTATGTATAGATAGGAATCTTAGTGCCTGTATGACAGTGGTTCTCAAACTTGAATGAACATTAGAATCACCTGGGGGTCTTAAAATTCCAAAGCCTGAGCCACACACTAGGTATATTAATTCACCAATGCTGGGGGTGGAACACAGCAGAAGTAGTTTTTAAGCTCTCCAGGTGTGCAGACAAATTCAGAAACCAGTGGCCAAGGAAAATTACAATAATAACATCATTATTATCATTTGAAGAAGAATGGGGGTAATGATCCTGACAGTGTTACTAGATATCATCATCTTTCCCTGACTGCTGCCTGTCTTCCAATCCACACTGCAGCCCTGCCGGACAGCTCTGTAGGAGGTTGAAGGAAAGGAGGGGATCACATCCTTTAAAGTGATGTCAGCCACAGTGTTGCCTAATCCAGACTGTCAGGTAAAGCCCAGAGAGATGCCGTTATTGGGCTCATCTCGTCGTCCCCAGAGTGACCACTGTGGTCATTATTGCGGCTGAGACTTTGGGGTTCTTTGTTACCAATTCTGATAGATGCGTCCATCCTTTTAATAACTACAGTGAATTCAGGAGTTGATATACTGAATCACATTTTTGCCAAGGTATAAATTGAGACTGAGTTTATTTTGACTTGTGGCTTGGAAAAAGAAATGAGTGTAGTAAGCCAGGCTGTTAATCTTGGGTTGGCTGATTCATCCATGAAAATCACTCTGTGTTTCAAGACATCAAGTTAAGTAAATTAATAAAACATTACTTTGTGTTCCTGTCATTTTCTCAATGGGGTACAGGGTGTTATACAAACCTCATACCATTGCCAATCTTTTTATACTTCATAGAAGGTCTTTCAGGCATAAGCAGGGCTGTGTGTCACTGTAAGGTAAAAACAGCAACTAAGTTAGGTTGCAGTGCTTATCCAATGTCCATAGAGTTGCCAGACTAGAGTCTTGGGGGGTGGTAGGAATTTGCTGGGAAGTACGGCAGTGGCAGGAAGGTTGTTCATAACAGAGGGAACAGCATGGGCAAAGGAACAGCAGCAGGAAATAGTATTTATAGGAGCTCTGTAGTCAGCTTAGTATTACTACCAAGGAAGAAACCACACTGCACTCTCATGAATGATTGGGAAGTCCCAAAAAACCTGCATTTCCATTTGTTTCTTATCATTTGGTACACATCTCCTAACATTCCCCCCCCCCACGTTGGAAGATACTCATGTGACGAAGGGCCGAATAAGCATGATGCTTTTAATCAACTTCCTTTACCGTTACCCTGAAAGGTCACACAATACGTAATACCAAATATTGCACACTGGTTATTAGTAGAGATTTTTTACAGGACTCTGTTGACACCTCAGTGATTCAGCTGACCTTTGGAAATGAACTCAGCAGTTCTCTGACTTACAGGGACCCCTGTGACCCTCAGTCTGTGCCCAGAGTCCAGGCCTTGGGGATTGTGCACCTGTGGACTCCCTCTGGGCATCTTGTAAAATATTGGAGCAAACTCCAAGGTTCCTTCCATGTCTGAAATTAGGTGATTCACTCAGAAACTCTGATGTAGGCACTCATTAATGCAAGTGGCCTATTAAATAAAAATGCTTAATAAATGCAAAAATGTACACCACAGACATTTTCTCCAAGTCTGTGGGTTCCGAAAAGACCAGAGCTTGGACAAGGCAGCCTTCTCCTCTCTACCTTCCTCTGGGCATTAAGACTTGGGGAGGGAAACTTTCTCATTAAACCTGTGTCCTAACATGAAATCAGCCCCAGGATTTTAGAAAGGAAGCTAGCTAAACCAGTTAAGCTGCTTCTTAGCTTGGACCATATTGGTTCTCTTTTGGTCTTTTGTTTTTCATCTTATGTAATGTGTTTTCTTCTGCAGCCTCAAAACTCAAACCTGTGAGAACCTAAACTTTTTCTACATTCTTAGCTCATGTTTGACACCCTCATTGTTCAGTCTAAAGCTCTGGATTTCAACTATTTGGGCACATAGCTAGTGACCTAATCATTTTGGCCACACTGGGGAGGATTTAAATCTCACCACCTCCTTGTGCTGCTTATCTGATTCCCTGGTTCCAGGGCTGTGACCATGTTGTTAGTTGAGTGCAGAGTTAAGGCCCTGGGTCTGGGTTAACACAGGCTGGGCTGATGCCATCTTTGACAGGCTGCAACTGAGTGCATGCCTGGTGCCGGGGATGGTGTCAGACTCTTCACTAGCACTGGGGATACAGTAGTGACGAACCAGCATGACTTCTGCCCTGGTAGAGTGTGCGGTATTCAAGGAAGTACAGAAATCATCATCTAATTGCAATTGTGTGCTGAAACAAAAAGCACAGGGTCTTCTGACCTGGTCTGCTCCAAGTTCAAATGTGTGGACATGATGAACTCAGGCAGCGGTGGAGGCAGGAGGCATTATGAGTGGTGTGCAGTTCCAAATGCAAGATAGGAACAGGTGACAGGTTCAAGAGTAAGCCTCCGAAGAGTACAAGGGTCCTGGTGATTTGATAAAATTCAGGACAGGGCCTTTCCTAGACATCTTCTCCCTGTCCCCTCCCCCCAGCTCCCCAAAGCCCAAAGGAATTATTCTTTCCCTTTTATTTTCCAGGCCATGTGTCTGTATCATTGCTCGGGCAGTTGTGTGTTGCTCTGCTGCTCTGTACTGTGATAAGGTAGTGTGTCTTCTGTGTCCTGGAAGGGAAGGCTGTTGTACTGTACCTAGTGTGTTCCCCGCAGTGTGTGACCCTGGATGGAAATGTTGATCAGTTGGTTAATGAAAAGGCTCACCGGTTAACCTTAGGGTGTGGAACCAGTCCTGCTGGCATTCACAGCCAGCAGATCCAGAGAGGGCTCAAGACTGAGAACGGTTAGCGGGTGCCCCTTTGTGCTCTAATTCACCGAAGCTTCCACTGATTGAGACAGGTAATGGGGAAATTCTATCACCTTGGGAATAGTTTAGTAGGTATTAGCTTGTAATTGAAAATTTAACGTAAGTTGGCTCTTCTTTTCTGCATCATGTTACTAGTTTTCTTCTGGGCCCTGGGATTCTGTGTGCCTTCGGAGAGGAACCACCTGCCCAGGTTGCTGTTCGCTCTGATCGCATCCCCAGCCCTGCTGCTCTCCTTCAGGACCACTCCCATCTCCCGTGACCACTTTTCTTCTGTGTCCACATGCTCCCCTTTTTTTGAATGCCATCTTTTTGAACACACAAAATTGTTCGCAACAGTAAAGGAAAAATTAAAAATTGTTTCAATCCTACTCTTACTCTGTCTCAATTTTTAACTTCTCTACCCATCCCATGAGTAGAAATCCTATCTACCATTTCCCCTTGGGAGTACATGTTTTATATTAATGGTGTTCTATTGTATATACCCTTTTGTTCTTTGCTCTTTTAATTTAATAGTCACGACTTTTCAATCAACAAATGTTCTTTGATCTTCTGTAATGTGCCAGGCATCGTTCTAGGGGCTGGAGGTAAATACATCAATGAACAAACCAGACATAAATCCCCGTTGTCCTGGAGGTCTTGCCTAGTTTGTGGAGAGAGACAGTAAGCATAATACAGACTGTTTAGGAGGTGATCACTATTTTGTAAAAAAACAGTCTGGTTTAAGAGACTGAGAGTATGAATGTATAACATTTTTTCTCATATTGCTACTATTATCCTTGATGTCAAGGGACTGTATTTTTAGCACTGAGGACTATAAACTTTAAATCTGGAGAGGACTTATGAGTCATTGAGAGCAAACCTTTCATTTTTTTGAGGCGATGAAACAGGTCTATAGAAAAGAAATGACTTGCTCAAAATTACAAAGCTTCTCAAGTGGTAAAGCAGGGACTTTGACATTTTAATTAAGTTGATTTTCATTCATTCTAAAGACAGTTCTTTCAGAATCCTGCTATGCTGTTACCCTATTGTGGGAAATTTGTTTTTGTTTTTTGTTGTAAATAACCAACAGTAGGCAGCTTACTACAAATACCATCTTAATGAAAGTAATTAATAACAGTAATAAATAATAGACTGCTGATATTTATTGAGCACTTATATTTGCAAGGCCCTGTTAAGTGCCTTACATGAAATAACTTAATTCTGACAGTACCATTGCATTTTCACAAATGAGAAAAAGAAGGGATTCCAAGTCACGTCTGTCTTGAGTCCAGAGTCTGAGCTCTCAGCCACTGCAATAAACAGCCTTTGGATTTGAATACTAAAATGCAAATTTCAAAAATCACAATAGTCAGTAATGTATATTTATTTATTTAACACTCAGAGTTTACCAAGAATGTCGACATATGAGGTTTAATTATATGTCATTGCTGTTTTTGGGATAAAAGTGCTTGAATGTTAGCAATTTCCTATATTCCATCTATTATTTCAGTTAATCCTCACAATAACTGTGAATTACCTGGTTACTGTGTCTATTTTATAGATGAGTGGTCTCATATTTTAGATGGAGCTTGATGTGTAGTGACTTAATGTTGGTAGAGAGAAAGGAGGAAACGAGGGCGAAAGCAAGGAAGGTAGAGAGGTTTATGCACAGTAAACAGCTGCTAAGACCTGGGTTTGAATCCCGCCTCCAACTCTTGGTAGCTTTGTGACCCCCACCACCCCCCAGCAAAACACTTACATTCTTTGTACCTCAATCTTCTCACCTGGTAACCGGAAGTAATAACATCTCTCTCATGATGTTGTTATAAGAATTGAATTACAAAATGGTGGAGATAATCTTGTTCAAAACCAGATAGAAACTAAGCAGTTGATCAAAGGTGTTGGTCAGTAGTTGGTAGTAGTGCTTTCTGTCATTATTATATTTAAAAATAATACTCCTGCTCTTTCCTCTAAGCGTGGTGTTTCTGCAGAACACACAAAAAATCTTTTAAAAATGGCACTGATACATTAATGCCCCTTGATGCAATTAGGGATTCTCTTTTTTCACAGATAAATTTTCCTCTGACTCTGATGGGCAGCCATAGAAGGTGGGGGTGGAAAGGTCGAAATTTAGCCCTGTTTGGATTTCTGAGTCACAGTGGGGCGATCCACCCAGCTTTTCTTCTCTCCTCCATTCCTCTAGTGCCGTCTCTGGTTTTATGACCTCCCCTGGGCACCTTGGTAAGGAGGCCTAGCCACAGCGGGGATGGGCAGGTGGCAGAGGCAGCCAGTGTCCTTGGGCCCTGACCAGTCTTGGTGGAGCAGATGTGCTCTTCCCTGACCACCAGGTAGGTGGGGACGGGTGTGACCGGCAGAGCGGAAAGTACCCAGTGGCCACCAAACCCACACAAGGGCTCGAAGTGCCGTTTGTGGAGAAGAGCATGCGCCCTGGGTGTGCATTCTGGGATTTTTCTGCAGTCAGCCCGTCTTCGCATGGGGCAGGTGGACTTTGCTGTGGCCTGCTTACAAGAGCTGTGAACTCTGGGAACCAGCCTATCCCTCCTGGGAGAAACTTGGCCTCAGGGCAGGGCTTGGGAGGAAGTGAAGGCATGCAGAAAGTCTTTCTTTTCCTCTTTTTACATTAAAATCTTGGCAAGAAAACATGCTCTTTATTTCTCTTGCCTGTATCAGCAGCAGATTCCCAAACTGAACTCGTAGGCATAGTCCTCGCTTCCTCGTACTTTGGCTTTTCCGGCTGCAATTTTGCTTCTCCATTTGATGGGGCCTCTAAGAAGTCCAGGTGGTGAATGGGCAGTGGGGAGTAGAGTTCTGTAGGAATACGGCTCTATAGCAATACAAACACAGAAGGAAAAGTGGGATCTTGTCAAGAAGGAATTGCTGTATTAAAATGTGTTACCTTGACTGACATTGAAGAAACCTCCCCTTTAACTTAGCACTGGGGTTTTGTTAAATACTTTATGGTAGAGCTGCGTGGTGGAGTGTTACAGGGG